TGACAGCAGCTCCTCCAATCTCCCACATCTTGACTGAACACTGAGGCTGTTTAGATGCCTGTCAAAATGTTCTAATGAAGCTTCTTGCGCTTCCTGTCACGTGGTTTCACGGCAGCGAGGCCTCGGACGTCATCAACTTTGGCCCCTCCTCTAAATGAATCACGCCTCGACACGCGCTTCGGGGAAACGCCCCTCCATTACTGGACACACGCCTCGAAACCTCGGCTCATCTCAGAACATCACTAGAAATAACCGAGCAGTTTAGTGGAAAAGCTCCGCTGTTGGAGCTTCATTAGAAAATGGAAGAAGCTAAACATGTCTGTCAGTCAGACTGGAGCTCCATGCAGGATCTCACCTGATGGGCCTCACTGACCCTAAGAAAGGTGAGAAATTAGCCCAGAACTACAGGGGAGGAGCTGATCTATGACCTGAAAGAGCCTGGACCACCGTTTCCATGGTTACTGTTGGCAATGCACTAAGAAGTTAAAGGAGCCGTTTGTATTTCTGTTTTCAGGCATAGTTTGGGTCTATTTTACAGTTTCAGTGCATTGGTTTGGTTTGGTTCTCTGACCTGTATTCCTGCTCTGCTGGTGGCGCTGTGGGTGAAATCCAAGTGTCCAGGTGGGGGCAGTAGGGGGTGGGTGTGGGGAGGCTTCATTATATCCACATTTGGATCAATATGAGCATTTCCTTTGCATGCTGCCATAGACCGCCACCCAGGAATCTGGATCACATTCAGGGTTCAGTGCCGCATCTCCCAGTCTGGATGTTACCTTCAGAGCGCGTCAGGACCTGGAGGCACCCAGAGGTCAGAGGGCATTTGATGGTCGCTACATAAAGTCGCTACATAAAGTAAAAAACCCGACTTTTCGGATTGAAAGTTGTGCCACTTTATGAAGCAGAAAGCTCACCTGGAAAAGTTTAGAGCTCAACTGGAGGACAAACAAAGGAGCTATATTCATTCAACCCCCCATCCTGTCACCTCTAGTAAGATGGATCAAATAATAAGGTGTGAAGTTTATCGATTATCATTCAACTGCAATCATCCTCACTGGAAACAAACAAAGGACATGATGGCTGCTTTATGATGCGTTTACAGCGTTCAGAGATGATGTCATAACCTGCTTTTTTGGTGGCTTTCATATCTCAAAGTGTGAACATTCAACATGTAAAGGCGTTTGTTCATTTGGTGACACTTAAGACTGATTAAGCACAAAGCAGCCTGTTGTTGTTTCATTGATTCACTAGCCTGATAAACCAACTAAATGTGAGATTAAACGTGTCATTTAGTCTGGCCCCAATGAATGAGACGTCAGAAGATTGTTGATGAGATCAACCCGTTGTCTTTTAAACCATGTCTGTCCCTATTGGCCAACGCTCTGACCAATGAGAGCCACTCACTGTGACGTAGGAAGCGCGACAGGAAGCTGGTGGGGGAGTGGAAACAAACAGCCTGTTGGTAAAATGTCGAATACGTGAATAAATGAACGAGCGTAGAGCCTCTTCCTGCTCACCTTTCAATGAAAACCCAAATCTGATCCTTCCAGAACGGATTCCAAAGCTGCGTCAAACCAGAACTGGTCAATAGTTGCTGCCATCTTCCTTGTTGTGTTTTCTCCAGCGTCGTGCAGCTTTATGGTAACACACTCAAAACCCCGCCCACTTTGCATCCAGAAATTCAAAACGCATCTCTGCGTCGTGATTGGCCCGCCAGTTCTAGGGCCTGGGGCATTGATGGAGGCTAGACGACGGCAGGCAAAGATGATTCTGGCTGCTGGCAGATGGGGCTGGTTTACTGGGCTGTTGATTCACATTGATGAAACTGAGCCTCTGGGCACACGAGGGGAAAAAAGATCAAACAACTTTCTCTAAAGGAACTTCTGCTTTTGGAAAGGTGCAAAATGAAAGAAGTGACGTGTTTAGAAATGTCAGTAAAATAAAGAGGAAAATAATATAGCTTTGGTCATCAAAGTAAAATGTTTCTGAAGTAAAGGTTCAACAGACTGGGTGGAAATGCATCCTCCCTTCATAACTAAAGGATTTTGATTTACCTGAAGATGAAAGGCAGAATAACTGGTTTCAAGAGAAAAGTGATGCAAAAAACCTGCTTGTGAATAAAGTAAATAACTGGCTGAGAGAAAAGGAAATGGATGAAAAGCATGAAAAGGTGTGTAATAAAGTTACTGCTGATGACATTCAAGCAGGGAAGCGAGATGAGAATGAGGAAGGTGTTTATCCTGCAGATAGTGTCTCATTTATTTCTCCTCTGTGTTTGAAGCGTCCAGCACATCCTGGCTGATCAAACAGCTTTACTGGCCAAAGCAGAAGCTTTAAAAACAAAACAGGAATTGGAGGAAGACATAGATTGGAAGCTGATAAAATACGACAACAAAAGGAACAGGTGGAAATAGGAGCATAAATAGCTGCTGCTGCTGCAGCGCCTCTCTGTGAGGGAAGGCAGCGGCGCCCGAAGAAAATCCCAATAAGTTCTGATGGGATTAATTTATCATCAGCAAAGGACTGAAAGAGCTAAAGTTGACTGAATTTAACCCATAAGAGAAGCTAATGTCTAATGTCAATAAATGTGACGCCTTGCAGACCTTGACTGGCCCCCAATGTCTGCACCAGATGGAGGATCTGAGGTTTTCTGCAGTAAACTCAGTTGGACAGGATCAGGTGCAATACCAAAAATAGCCAGCAGATGTCACTGTTTCATCAGGTTCAAAGTTGGATGGATTACTTTCTGTAAAGCCAAATATTGTTCCTGTAAAATTCCACTGCTTTTCAATCAGAAGTAAAGAACAATAAACAAAAACGTTTTAACAGTTAATCAGATCCAACTGATGATATCCTTTCTTCTATTATACAAAAACAGAATGAAATTACATCAAAGCTTGAAATCAATGAAATACGTTTTTAAAGGCAACCCCTTGCAGCGTATGTCTTTTTTAAGAGCTTTTGAACATTATGTAGAAGAGAAGACAAACAGTTATCAGGACTGTTTAGAACTTTTAGAGCAATAGACCAGAGGAAAACCAAAAGAGCTTGTGCTAACCAACTAACCTCCAATAGCCCTCTCCTAGAAACCATCTTTACTGTGAGAAGCCACATTCTATATCAAAGCTCCCCGAACTGCAAAGGATTTCTGATAAGGAGAAAATAGGATTCCTAAAAGGAAATGGAGAATGTTTTGAATGCTTAGGGATAGGCCACATAAGTAAGGAGTGTAGGAGTCGTCTCACCTGCGACAAATGGCATTTAAAGCATCCCACCCTGCTGCATTTTGACAGGAAGGAACCAGCAATAAGCAGTGGTGCTTCACCAGGCTGGTGTTGGTGCTGTATCTGGAAACCATGACTGTACCTGCTCCATTCTTCCAGTCAACATGTAGTCTAAAGGGAGATAATGTGTTGCAGACCTTACAGCCACTTTCATTACAGGCACGTTTCTGTTTGGAGGAGTTGGTTGAATCATGAGGAACCAAGCAGGAAGTGACATCATCAGAGCAGGAAATCCCACATCCTCCATCACCAGCGTTCCTTGGTGGGATTTAGATTTTGAGGATTTTTGAGGATTACAAAGCAGAAATGAAGGCAATCCTCCCACATTGATAATGAAAGGAAATGATTCGCTCCATTCAGTTCTTACCTAAGGCTGCATGACGAAAGAGGTAATTAGCACCGGCGTTCATGCTATGAAAAGCTAGAGTGGCTCCATTAGAACAGATAAGTTCCTCTCATTGAACTCATTGTTGCTGTTCTGACTGAGCAGGTGGACGTTGAAAAAGGAGTTCTCTATCCAGATCATTCTTTTGGACAGACAGACAGTTCAAAGATAGATAAATGATAACACCAAACCATTTCACACCTCTGTTGAACATAGAGTGGCTGCGATAAGAGAATCTACAGACATATTTCAGTGGAGGTACGTCAACTCTAAGACAAAAAGGTTTACTGAGAGGGTGGTAGGCTTAGTTTGTTCAGCCTTATCTCTGGAACAGAAACTTCCTGTTATCCTTTATGAAGGCCAGCATGGATCCAAACTTAGACAGCAAGATCAACATCAGACGGGCCATGCAAGAAGAAATCATATGCTTTCAGCCCTCAGAGACAGATATTGGATTACCTAACTCAGTGCCAACTCAGCCTGCAAAAAAATATTGTCTAATTGATTGTGTACAGACGCTACAGAGGACAACCAGCCGAGCAGAAATGGCAGATATGCCACCAGAACCAGTCTGTCCAGATTTACCACTAAAGTAGGTGTAGATTATTTTGGCCCATTTAGGGTCAAGAGAGGACAAATACTGGTTAAGAGATACGGTGTTATTTTTACATGCATGGCCATTTGAGCTGAACATCTGGAGGTGGCTCATTCATTAACATCTGACTCCAGCATTAATGCCATCAGATGTTTTATGTTCCAAAGAGGAACAGTCTGTCAAATATGGCCTTCAGTGGTACCAATTGTGTTTTATTTCGATTTTTATTTTATGCTATGGTTCATTATATATATATTTTTTATATTTTATTATGCACCGTGGGGTTGAGAGGACTGAAATTTCATCTGTGTTGTATGTTTACCATGTAGCACAATTGACAATAAAGTTGAGTTGGTGCAGAGCGTGAACTGAGGGAGGCTTCGGCAGCCATAGATCCACCGAAAAATCCACCAAATGAAATCAGATGAAAAAAAGACTTTAAACTAAATAAACAGGCGCGTTTCCGTTGGTCTTGTTCAAAACAAACTATTTAAGTTGAGATGCTTTAAAAACACAAACATCTCTATTCATCTAAAAACACGTGTCAGTTTAAAATCTCTATTAAGGTCATGAATGTCTGTAAATGATGATCTTTTATTGTTTTATCTAAATCTCCTTAATGTGACTCAGAACATCAAATGTTGTTAAAATCCACAGCTGAATAAAATCCTCCGTGTTTCTGCGTGGCGCTGTGGAAATGCAGTGTTTCAGGGGGAGGTCCTCCTGCAGCCTGTCCGCCAGAAGAAGAAGGAGGAACAGAAGAAGAAGAAGGACCGGGCGGACGTGACGTCAGCCGGGATGAAAACATGGTTGAAGAGAGTGAAATCCGCGTGGTTCATCAGGGAGGCAGTAAAATCACCTTCAGGAAGCCGCTGATCAGCTCCGACAGCAGGTCAGACTCTGTGTCCCTCACGATGACGTCATTTTATCCGCAGAGCAGCGGGAATGTTAGCAGCTAATGCTAATGCTAATGCTACACGGCGGCTCTTTGGTTCCTCCAGGTTCCTGCTCTGCGCCTCCGGCCACCATGTGAAGGTGTTCAGCATCCTGACCGAGGAGTGTGTCCAGGAGCTGCGGGGACACACCGACCTGGTGACCGGGCTGCTGCCCCGGGCCTCCAACCATCTGCAGGTGACCGCTGCTCCTCCTGCTCCTCCTGCTCCTCCTCCTCCTGCTCCTCCTCATCAGACGGCTGATCAAAGCTAAGCCAAAATTAACTAAACTCTTCATCGGAGCTGAGATTAACCAGGATTAGCTTCAATCTGAGGCTCAGATTAGGATTTAATCTCCTATCAGACCAAAGGTCTCTGATGGAGAATCTAGGCTGAATGCATGTCTGCATTAGAAGCTCTATTCAGTCTATTTCTGCAGCTTCAATTCACAACATATCATCTTATAGATCTAGATGCATCAGATCATCCAGTCAGATTAAAGGTTGAAAGCTGACTGAACACCTGCATGTTCCCTAAGAACGTCATCAGCTGAAGGAGGATAAAGTTCTGATGATGGGCGGAGTCTCTACCGCTGATATTTCTCAGCCGCCGTTATTTTATTCTGGAGAATCTGGAAAATGATCCAGACGCTTCATTCATCTAAATCGTCTCCAATCCTGTGAAGCAGCAGCTCGTCTCTTCCTGAAGGTTCAATCCGTGTGATGCTGAGCCTCTCTATGTGTTGCAGATCTACTCCTGCTCAGTAGATGGCACCATCAGACTGTGGGACTTTACAGATGGCGTTCTCATCAAGGTCAGAAATCCCTTTCATCTGCTTTGACCTCCGTTTGATGCGGCGCTCTGACCACCATCTGCTTCCTCCTCAGACCTTCGCCGTCGGATATCCCATCTACTCCTTCTACGGCTCCTCCAGCCACCAGGAGGTGCTCTTCATCGTCACGCCCTCACAGAGGAAACGCTCATCAGGTGGGTGTCTCCCAGGTGACGGCCATGATGCTGCGATCGGTTTGATTTCTCTGCTTCTGATCTTCATCCCTCCAAGCATCAAAACCATCAGGCGTCCACTCTGCTCCTTTTGCGTCTTTCAGTCCACCTCCTAAATGTCCCTCCCTGCTTAGCGTCGCCCCCCCCCCCCGGTGAAGGACGATTAGCTGCGGTTGGTCTAATGTCCGTCTTTCTGTCCGTCTTCAGATGCGTTCCAGCTGCTTGCCGTCCGTCTCCCGCAGCGTTCTGACCCGCTGGTGGACGCCACCGATGTCTCTGTGGTTCTGGAGGATGTCGGCTCCAACCCTGCAGCCGTGTCCTTCGGTAGAGAGGTGAGCGTGTCCCTGCTGTGTCCTCTCTCGTCTCCAGCCTCCTTCATGTCTCATCAGCTGTCCTTTCCTCACAGGGAGAATATGTGGCCTCAGCTAAAGATCTCCAGCTGCAGATCTTCTTCTTCAAGAAGGAAAAGTCCTACAGGTTGATCCAGGCAGCAGCAGATCGCTTCCCTGCAGAGACCTTCATGTTTGCTAACTGCTGTGGTCTTCTGGTGGACAGGTTCTCTCTGAAGGAGGACAACAAGAAAGGAGGCAGGAACACCTTCACCTGCGTGACCTGCCACCCCAAAGACGACTGCGTGGCATCGGGACACGAGGACGGGAAAATCCGGCTGTGGTGAGTCCAGAGGAACCCAGTCCAGAGGAACCGCGGTTCCACTAGAGGGAACTGCGGTTCCACTAGAAGGAACCACGGTTCCACTAGAAGGAACCACGGTTCCACTAGAAGGAACCACGGTTCCACTAGAAGGAACCGCGGTTCCACCAGAGGGAACCGCCCTCTCTTGACCCTAACCGGTTCCTTCTAGTGGAACCACGGTTCCCTGTAGTGGAACCTCATCAGTCAGCAGAACGTTCCTTTGCTTCCCTCCAGGAGAAACTTCAACCACAGAAAGGAGTACACCTACTCCACCCTGCACTGGCACCACAGCGCCATCAGCTCGCTGTGCTTCACCCCCGAAGGTAAGGCGGCCCCGCCGCTGGCCCCGCCTTTCCAGCTTTCCAAGCATCTGAGCCGCTGCTCTTCATTCAGGCACCAACCTGCTGAGCGGAGGCGTGGAGTCGGTTCTGGTCCAGTGGAGATACAAGCAGGAGAGCCAGCTGGACTACCTGCCGCGTCTCGGAGCCGCCATCACGCACATCGCCGTCTCACCAGACGGGACGCTGTTCTCTACATCCCACAGCGACAACAGTAAGGAGACGGAGCGCCGACCCGCTCGGGTTCCACCCAATAAATAGAACAATCTTGAGAACCTGAACAGTGGGAACCTTTGGCAGGTTCTGGGGGAACATTTGATGCCTGAAGGTCCCTGACCATGACGCCACAGCGGGGGGGGGGTTCAGGTACCGTTTGGGTTTCTCACGGTTTGTTCTGTTTCTCTGTAGAAATCACGCTGATCCACGGCGGCGTGAAGGTGTCGGCCATCATCCAGGGTCTGGTCCAAGGTGAGTCCTTTCCATGACCTCCTGCTTCATCGGAGCTTTAGACCCGATGGTTCCAACTAATCCCAGAACCTGATGAGGTTCTCCTGAAGGGAACCTGATGATGGGCTGGAGGTTTCCATGGTAACCACGCTCTGTCCCCGTCTGCAGGAGAAAGCGTCCAGACGGATCTGCTGGTGGACCCTCGCAGCAAAGCGCTGGTGCTGAACGGAAAACCGGGTCACCTCCAGTTCTACTCGCTCCAACGAGACAAACTTCTGTTCAACGTGAGACTCTGACCCCCCCCCCCATAGAGCTGCTGTCCACACGGAGCTCTGAAGGTCTCCTGTCCTCCACAGCTGGACGTGGTGCAGCAGGAGTTCATCCACCAGTCGGGTCTGGCCCAGTTCCAGGTGGTCCAGGCAGCGATGGACGGTTCCGGCAGCTGGTTGGCCACCGTGGAGGAGAGGAAGCAGAAAGCTGCTCAGGTGGAGTTGAACCTGAAGCTGTGGGCGTTTGATGAGCAGACCCAGAGGTACGGCTGGATCCTTCAGGCCCGGACGGGTCATCAGAACCTCCCTGCTAATGTCTGCTCCCCCCCCTCTCCTCGCTGACGGACAGCTTTGTGCTGAACACGACCATCTGGGCCCCCCACGAGGCGGGGATTACCTCCATGTGCTTCGAGCAGGCGGGCGGCAGCGGGACCGCCCTGCTGGTGTCCAGCAGCAGAGACGGACACTTCAAAGCCTGGCAGCTGGCGGCGCCGGCCCACACAGACGGTGAGAACCCGCCATGTTTTCCAGGTTCTGGGTCCTCTTCCCTTCTGCAGACGGAACCGGGAGGTTCTGACCTTTCCTGGTGAACAGAACCGGAACCTCGTCACGTCAGACCGTAGGTTAATCCGTCTCTCCTGTCGTCTCCTGATTCCTCCCGCAGACGGCGCCCCCTCCTGGTCTTGTGACTTCGTCGGCGCCTACCACGGCCTGGTTCCGGAACGCTGCTGCTTCTCTGCCGACGGCTCTCTGCTGGCCGTCAGCTTCCAGGAAGTGGTGACCGTCTGGAGCCCGACTTCCTGGGAACTCCTGGTGACGCTGTCGCAGCCGCCGGGCGCCATCAGGCAGGAAACGCACACACGCACACTTTACTGTCTCTGTGAGGACGCTCCGTTACATCCTTTCTAGAACCTAGATCTATGCACGCCT